ATTTTGTAAAAAAAAAAAAAAAAAAGGAAAAAAAAAAAAAAAAAATCAAGAAGGAAATTTATATTATTTCCTAGGAAAGCTATCCCATAGTCTGAAAGCATTTTATATTTAAAATAAATATGAATAACAAATACCAGGGTACATTACAACTTTGTCCTCATATATGTTAGCACATCAGTACTCTTTTGAAGGAAATGAGTAAACCACAGAAGTAGAAGTCTTGGCATTTAGTAGCTGTTTTCTTCATTCAAGGTCAAGGTTCACTCACAGTTGCCTCCTTTTCTCCCCCATCTCTCTATGGGTTTAAATGGTGATCTTGTGAGACTGTATTTCTAATAATCAAGAAATAAAAACTTCTGACATAATGAAAATAAATGTATAAAGAAATATTTAGCCCTGGTCAGTGTGCTTCAGTTGGTAGGAACTTCGCCCTGAGCACCTAAGGGTTATAGTTTCGATTCCCTGTCAGGGCACTTACCCAGGTTGCAGGTTCGATCCCTGGTAGGGGTACAAGGAGGAGGCAACTGATCAATGTTTCTCTCTCACATCAGTGGTTCTCTCTCTCTCCCCTTTCCTCTAAAATCAAATTTTAGCCTGGCCAGTGTTGCTTAGTGGTTGAGCATCAACGTATGATACAGGAGATTACGGTTCAATTCCAGGTCAGGGCTCTATCCCTGGTAGGGGGCGTGCAGGAGGCAGCTGATCAATGACTCATCATTGATGTTTCTATCTCTCTCCCTCTCCCTTCTTCTTTCTGAAATCAATAGACATATTTTTTAAATAAATAAATTTTGAAAAAGAAATGTTCAACTGACCTCTTGAAAATCCTGCTCAAATTTCCATAGTTGCAGATACTGCTCCGTTTTTAGTTGGTGTTTTTCCCAAAATTCATCAAAAGCAATTTCCATATCATGTACTTGAGTCAGCAATCTTAACAAAGAAAAGTCACAGAATTCCTTAAAAACAAAGGCTTGTTTTATAGGTATGTAGATAAACCTGGTCTGGACATTAAGAATTGAAGGCAAAGTCACAGCTCATGACACTTGGTCCAAGTAGAGACCATCAGTGTCCATAGAACCCCATCTGCAAGCAAACTAACTTTTTTGAGACAGCTCAGGAGTGAGTTCTCAGATTTCCAGAGATCCAGGAATACTATAACACTTAACAGATTGCAGCAAAAATGTTTAATTCTTTTTCAAAAGTATAAAATAAGTAACTCTATACTCAAAAGAAAGCACTCACTTATTAACTGTTTGCCAGTCACCACTTATTTGCTCATGATGTTCAAGTCTTGAACTGATAGATTCTTCAGTGTCAGGTACTTCCAGATTTGCTAGCAGAATTTTTCCTTCTTTGGTTACAGCTGTAATATCATTCTGTACAAAGGTACAATAGAATGTATCAAATACCTGCTAGTAACCTAATCTGAATGACCTGCAGAGAAGGAAGCATATACCTACAGCATGCAGAATAGAAACAGTAGTTTTAGAATGACCTTTGCTTTCATAATTGAAACCACCAAGAAATGCCTCAGTATCACAGAATCCAAAAGCTGTGAGAATCTCCAAGAAGCTTCTACCTGTTGCAATCACTATTTCTATAAGATCTTTACAGGCAGACATACACCATGCACCATTTGTAGACTTCTTCTCTTACTGGTAGAAAGTTCTAAGTTATTCTATTCTAATATTTTAATGTACTTCAATAAAGCAGTAGTACATAATCAAGAGTACCACACTAGAAAGCATAGTTACAAATAATATTTAATGTATATTCAGATATAATTAGATGCCTTTCCTACTAATCCTTAATTGCTGCCCATCATTGCCTGCCATAAGTATTATGTCCACATTTAGATTAATTAATCATGAAGCATATGCCTCTATTCATAAGGTCTTAACCTTCGACAGTGGACTCTTCAGGCATGTAAGAGCGATCTATGACTTCCTTCAGAAGAGCCAATAATTTGGATGCACATGTATTTTTCCGGAAACAGATTCCATGACACTACCACCAATAGGAATAAGAACATAAACATTAAGAGCTATTGCCAACTAGGTGAGAAACACTGTGGTACATACACATATCACATACTTTATTTCATTTATTTCAACAACCCTATAAGGTATGCATGTATCATCATCATCAACCTCACTGTAGATATAAAAAAATTCAAATTTGCCTGGCCGGGCATGGCTCAGCGGTTGGGCATTGACCTGGGATCCAGGAAATCAAGGTTCGATTCCCGGTCAGGGTACACACCTGGGTTGCAGGCTTGATCCCCACTCTGCGGCATGCAGGAGGCAGCCAATCAGTGACTCTCTCATCATTGATGTTTCTCTCTCTCTCTCCTCCCCCCCATTCCTTCCTCTCTCTGGAATCAATAGACATTTTTTTTAAAAATTGAAATTTAGAGAAGGTAAGAAAATTACCCAATCATACAGCTTATGAGAGACAAAGCTTTCTTTCCTTGAACAGAGTTTTGCTTTTAGATTATGGTTTAAGATTTCACTTTCCTTAATTTAAAAATATCACCTCTACATAGAACTTGTATCTGTTAGTGCCCCAGACAGCCTATTATCATGTGAAGGACATGAGTTCTACAGGGAAGTCTAATGCTTGTTCAGATGATTCATAAATATTTTGGGGAAGGTGATTTTAAAGTACTTAGTGATTGAATCGTGACTCAGAATCCTTCAAAAACCAACACTCCAGACAACTGGGTAGGAGAGCAAAATAAACTACTTATTTTAGAAAACATCAAGAACTAGTACTCTTTGGAAAAGAAAGCTTGTAAGTAATTTATCAATGTTTGGCTTAGTCCCAATGCTAGTATATGGCAGAGTTAGGACAAGAAACCAGGCCTCCTGACTCATCAAGTTCTCCATTTTACATCCTACTTGCGGTAGATGTTAAAACAGAACACCTGCATGCTTCTTGATGCTCTAACTTTCCAAATGAGGGCCTTTCCACAGGATAAAGAATATGTGGTAACAAAAATGACCATGGATTTCTTATTCTGGAGTGTTTATAAGCTATTCAATTTACAAATAAACAACTTCTCAAGAAAAAGCATCATTAACAAAGGGGACACTTAGATTTAACATATCCAGGACATTCTCCTTTTGTCAAGTATTCTTATTTTTTATTAGTGTGCTTTATAATATATAAATATATATTTTGTATCCCTACCCACTAATCAGCGTGAAATGGACACAAACACCTCTCTAGAAAAAGTCCATGGAAAACATTTGTTTGTCCCCTCTATCAGACATACCTTCAACAGGTGATATCTTTCAGCACGAATTGCAATAATTTCTTCTATTGAAGGAATATCATCTGGTAGTTCTGTCTCAGCCAGTTCGGTTCCAAAGGCCTGTAACATTTGAGCCATTTCTTTCACTGTGAGGGCAAAATTTTCTATAGCCTGCAAAGAACCAGTGATTCTTTTAATCCTGTGGAAACTGTCAGCATATCAAAAGCTGGGTTAGTAATTGTATTTACTTTTATTTAGGTATGAGAGCAAACATATACGATGAACTCTCCTCTGCTAAGGGAAGTTGGCATTGCCCTTGACAATCAACTCTAACTTTGCAGCTAAGCCTCTAAAAAACTATAGTAAGGTGAAGAGTCTTCTTTAATGCCTTTTATCTGAATTTCTGTACTTATTTATTGGACATCGATGAAAACTATTTCTTAAAGATGCCATGTACTGAGTGATTTATTTTGACCTTGAAAAACGCAGAGTTTACTAGAATAAGGAAAACACTGTAATTATAAAATTGCTTTATAATAAATTTACTTCTGAAGGGAGATGGGAACATCAAAGCCACTTTATATTTATTAACATTTATGAACAAGCATTAGCATTCCAAGCACGGTGACAGAATGAGGTGATGAGGGAATATCTAGTCACAACAATTCATTTCAGGTTCTGTTGCCTTAAAATGTCAAGTAACATTCTGTTGTTTCCTAAATCAATTACTCAGAGAAAGAAGGACAACATATAGAGAGCATATAAATCCCTTGTTTACCACACAGCTCAAGGTATCTGCTTTTTTTATTTATAGTTTTATCAGTTATTTAAGGCTAGCCACTACTAATTTTGACAATATACCTTCATATGAATGAATAGGACCATTGAATGAAGAATAAATATGAAGAAAATAGAAACCTAGTTTAATTAAACATCATTTAATTACATCCTTCAGAAGATTCCTGTGTCTCTGGGATTTGGAGTAAAGATTCTTATACAACAAACTCACCCCTGTGAGGTGCAGGGCCTTTGCCTATTTGTAAATTTCTAGAACAGGAGTCTTTGCTACAAATGTAACTGCCTCAGGAGCACCACTACCATGGTAAGATTAACAATATGATTTGCATTTTTTAAAATCCTCACCCAAGGATATGTTTAGAGAGAGGAAAGGAGACAGAAACA